GAAAATGCTGAATGGAGTTAGGTGATTAAGACGAAGATAGTGAATGGGTACATCTGCGCCACTGACATAGTTTCTGAGTAATATCGCCTAGTTTCTCCAACCACTGGTTTCTGTTGTCACACGGATCCAACCAGCTAGTTTGCATCTTCCAACGTGGCTCAGATAAATAGTCAAAGACTTCATTCAATGATGCCATGTCTCAATCTGACCGCCTCGAGCCCTTTTCCAGCCTGAACCTACTTCGGCTAACATTGTGCAATGAGGTAGATAGTGAATAAGCTTACGTAGCATATTTACAAGCCATTTCTGTTGATGGAGGCTCAAAACCGTAATAACTGACTTTCCCCTCCTTGAAATTCCATACCTGACTTCTGCATTACTCACGCGGTGGCACCGTGACATGCAGTCTATGGTACAAAGACAACTTCGGTCAGACACCTGATTCTCATTTCCTCTGTCTTTAATGACCATGTATCACAAACATACAGTAGAGCAGAGGGAACTGCAGCACAATGTGCTCAACTCTTAATAGTCAGTCGAATATCATAGTAGCGCCACAGGCGGCGCAAGTTGGTGAAATCCATTCGAGCGATTTCTTTGGCCACTTACTCATCTGATTTCCCAGGTAAGTGAAGTGGTCAACGCACTCGACCACTTCACTCTTTTGTTAGACATTGCCGCTAATGACCAGTCCTGGAGCAACAACTTAAATTTGGGTGGCAAGGAACCTACGCGTCTCAAACGTACTCAAATAGCCACTCAAGATGTCCGGAGGACTTCATCTTATCAGCATCATCTAACGAGACTGTCATCTAAGTACTCTATCTACTAAATATTTTCCTGTAATGTCATAATGAGAAGACCTCCATAAGAGTATGTATGAAGAAATTGAACAGTAATAGAGAGTGAATTTCCTTGGCCGACACCACTCGATGTACACAACTAACACGCCCGCAGATGTTCGAGTATCGAGCCTTCAACATAATGGTGAACTTATTCGGTATACCCTCTCAGTGAGAGACTGCCATAAGACCTCTCGATTGACGGAGTCGCATTCCACCTTCAGGTCGAGAGGCAGCTAATGTCGGGGGTCGGTAAGTGCGTCTGATGGAGTGTTAACATCTGGTCGATACACCCAAGATAAAGTCTAAAGCCTGTCTGTTTTTTTCCCCTTACCTTGATTTACTAATGTAAAATATGGGGACTTCCAGCGTAAGGCAATAGATTTAAGTTCCAAATCGGCAATAACTGACTAATATTTTCTGTCTCGTGTGCGGAATCCATATGCGGCATTTATTATTATTATCACTACTTGTCCTTTGGGTTCCTAGTGGAACATAGGGCTTCAGTAGCCATTTCACTGTTCTCTACAGTCTTATGAAACTGACTCCACAACTGTCCAGAAGCTTTCATTTATTCCTCACACGATCTCCTCCCTGTCACCCTTGGACGCCCAACTCGTCGTTTCTCATGCGGGTTCAACCGGAGGACCTGACGCGTGATGTCCCCAAATAGTCTCAGTGTATGCCCAATCCATCTCCATTTTCTTCAGCATGTTTGTTGGGCGATGGATTCTTGATTGCTTCGTCACCATCCAGAGTCCCTTGTTGTTCATTCTTTCTGACCATCTGATCTTCAGTACTGAGTGTAGGCAGCTGTTGATGAATGTCTTCAGTTTGTTGGAAGTGCTTTTCGTAAGTTGCCAAGTTTCTGAACCATATGGAAGCACTGACTTGATATTAGTGTTGAAAATCCGGATCTTGTTCTTTATGGTGAGTGGAGTACAGTAAATCTCCACACTGATTTCAGACTAATGAAGACCTGTCTTGCCAATTCTGACTTTGACATCCTCATATGTGCCGCCTGTAGTTGGAACGATGCTGCGCTGCCTGGGTAGATGAAAGAAACAACTCCCTTTAGGTTTTTCCCATTGATGGTGATTAGTGCTTGTTGTTGTTGGTTAGGTATCTTCATCACCTCTGTCTTTACGTTCTCTACGTCCCCATTTTCGCTGCCCTGCCTCTTCTGTCAACTTGTAGGTTTTCGCCTGTAGATCTTCGAGTTTGTGCGACATTAGACATAAATCATCATCGACGAAATCCAAATCTTCCGGGATCTTTTCATCGGTCCAGACAGCGTATACTTCTCTTCTCACAGCTACTCGCAATTTGTTACATGATCCAGTCAATCACAATCTGGAAGATCATCGGTGATAGTAGGTGGCAGCCTTGTTTTACTCTTGTCTTCACTTCAAAGGCGTCACTGAACTTTCCATTGTGAATCACTTGGCATGTAGCGTCGTAATGTAGCTGTTCAATCAGGTTAATAAAGGTTCGTGTCACTAAAACCGTAGTTTTGAAGCAGTTTCCAAGTTGCTTCTCGGTTGACGCTGTCGAAAGACTTTTCAAAATCAATGTATTCGAAGTAGAGTTGACTGCCATTCTGTGCTCTGTTTTATGATGGTCCGTAGCGTCGTAGCGTTGCAATTTGATCCGCACATGATTTGTTCTTCCTGAAGCCAGCCTGGTCATAATTTTGAATCCAGCAAATTGTTTAGTCTCAACAGGATGATGCGGCATATTTTTTTGCTTCGGTGGGGGGGGGGAAGGGAGCCTGATTCCTCGCCAGTTCTTGCAAAGAGATATGTCACCCTTCTTTGGGACTTTGACAAGGTAACCCTTCCAATCAATCAGCAGGTACCTTTCCTTCCTTGCGAACCTTGTGTAGTAACGGTGTGAGCATGTTCGCTGCTGTCTCTGCGTCTGTTTTCAGTGCTCCTGGAGGAATTCCATCTGATCCTGCTGCTTTCCTGGATTTCAGCAACTTCATGGAGATCAGGACTTTACTTCTGCTTTTGTCGGAGGGCTTGGGTTCACTGGTAATTGTGTGACTGGGGCTGCTGGTGGTATTTCTGGATGAGTTGCAGGTGGTGGTTGATTCAAGAGTTTTTGAAGTGGTCAGCCTATCGTTTCCTTTATTTCTCCTGTCCGTTGGTAACTAAGTTTCTTTCATTATCTTTCATTGGTCTCATCTGTGTTGACCTCTTCCCAGATGGTAACCTGTTTATTTGATATAGTGTTGTCAGGTCTCTGTCTCTCCTACCTGCAGCCTGTTCTGCTTCACCTGCCAATGTGTCGTAGAAGTGTCTTTTGTCTTTCCGTGCACCCTTTTTCACTTCTTTGTCCAGTGTAGTGTTTTGTACGTTGCACTCAGTTCCTCTTCTCGTTGTGCATCCTTGCACTTCACTGGTTCATCTTCTGCTTCACCGTCATCCTCTCCCTGTCCCTTCTCTATCAGCTTCGATGTGTCTGTTGAGATCCATTCCTTGTCTTGTTTATTCTTCCTTCCCAACACGGTTATGCAGATTTCCTTCTACATCTATTTCAAAGCGTTCCAGTGTTTCTTCAGGGATGTTCCTCTATATCTCCCATTTTGTCTTGATGGCTGCCGTGAAGATGTCCTTTGCAGTTTCGTGCTTCAGTTTCTATTCTGGGTGTTGAACTTGAAGTGTGGTCTATCACCAACTACTTTGAAGGTTTTCAACTTGATTTGGAAGGTTCCTTGCACTAGACAGTGTGTGAACCTGCATCTGTTCCTCTTCTTGATCTGATATTGTGTCCAGTAGGCTGCGTCTCCACTTTCTTCAGATGGAAATGAAGTCCATCTGGTGAAACCCATGTCGCTTCATGAATATCCCTGTGTTCGTACACACTGTCTCCAATCACCAGTAGTCTGCAAACAGTTCTCCATTCTCATTCATTTCACTGAGTGCTTCTCGACCCATGATGAGTTCTCTTCTTGTGTTGTCTGCTCCTAGTTTGGCATTCATGTCACCCATTAGAATGGATTGTGATATCGCCAACTAGGGTGGGGTCTTGTCTAATACTGATTGTAGTTGCTTCCTTCTCTTGATCTACCTAATTTGTTGGTGCATAGCGTAGCAATGTATGATTGTGACTTTCCTTCCTTTTTAGTTGAATCTTGTTTTCATGATCCTGCAGTAGGAGATTGGTTTCCACAGCTTGAGAGAGGGCCTTTGCTACTCTTGGGGTTATCATGATAGCCACTCCAAGAGTGTGCTCTTGGTTGTCCTCTGGGCGACAATATTGGAGTAGATTATTGAGTCTCCAGTTTACAGTTTGTAGAGTCTACTTCCTTTTTATCTGCTTTCGCAGATTCTTATCACTACTATGCCATATCTCCTCATTTCTTTTGGAATCTGGGCAGTCTTGCTAGCTTCAAACATTGTGCTAACATTCTATATCCCTATGCTTACGTTTGCTTTGATCGAGAGAACAGATGACACATCAGCAAATTGGCTTCCCGAAGGCTTTTACCAACCGGAGTAATTTCTTCTCCCCGATTCCAGCGAGGAATAAGTTAATTTTTGTTTTTTATATTTTGTCTGTGCTTTGAAGTTTCGTTAGCGATTGGATTGGTTTTACGTGGTAGGTTTGCTAGCCCTATGCCCAACGTTCCCTCTTCATTCAGGCTTAGGACCGGCTAGTAACTAGTGAACTAGTAAACTAGGCGATGTTATTTGCTGCATAAGGTTTCTTCTTATGCTTATGCCTGTGTCTTAATTTGTATTAACTAATATCTTGTATGCAGGATAGCTGGTTTCAAGGAGTACGTTTGCTGACACCACTTGCTTCATGGCTGCTAGGTCATGAACTGTTGGTGTTATCGATCGGTTTGCTTTAGATTACCCATAATAAGGTCTTAAAGTCGAATACTAGTGAAACATCTGTCATCAGTCATCAATTACGACAGCTAGCGCAGCTTTTAATAGGTATTGCTTAATGTACTATTGATCTTACCATTCATTTTCTTATTGCGGATACTATTGTTTACTGTCATCGGGTAAAATAGTATGAATAACTGATGGAGGTTGAATATTGTGCGTTCTTAGTTATCTACTTGAAAGATGCAATTCTTACTAGCCTATTAGTGTCGGTTGTCTACATATTTAGAAGTTTTTTTCTTCTCCCTTGCTTTAGGATGATGGTGGTGGATTTACAAGTAGTGTCAATCGTGGCTTACATGGTCAGGTAACACATGGAACGTTTGGTGTCCCTCAGAGTTTGCGCTTAACTTGTGGAAGTTGTAATTTTTCCTTTTCCATACCGTCACCGGAATCTCACACTGGTCGGACAAACGTACTTATTGCACTTTTATCTGGTAGAAGTGCTTCTGATGCAGCCGGTCTCATAACGGCCAGATGCCCTCATTGTCACAAGGTTACGTCTGTTGGTCCAGGCTTTGCTCGTTCACGCTGGATTGCCTTTGGTGTGCTTGCCATTATCGCTATGATTATAGCGATTAGCGTAACTGCGGGAACGGCTGAGGCTGCAAAGATTAATTCTGCACTATATTTTCTGTGGTCGGGTAAGTCAGTTATTTCAGTAATATCACATTTTCATAACTGGTGAAAAATTCTTTATTCTTCATTAACAGACTGGTCTCGAAATGCTTGCAAGGTAGATAATCAGTGGATGTAATACTTACCTTTAATGTATGAGGTATTTCGTTTGTGAATAGTAGTTGGTAAGCTAGTTTCTGCATCATAATTCTCGTTACGTTTCATCTGTTTCCTCATGAATCTTAACACAGGTGATTGTACTTTCTTTATCAAAGTGGTCTGTTAAATTTTATTCTATTCATTAAACCATCGAAATAACTTGCGATATTTGTAAAATGAAATCAGTTCATTATGCTTCATGACTTCTCAGCTTTCACTTGCTAAAATATGGAATAAAATACTTGATTTTTATGTTTCTATCAAGAAGTACTTATCAAGGAGAATTCAGCAAAACAAACCAGGCCGAATAATAACAGTCAGTAATCGTGAATTATGTTAATAAAGTTTCATTTATTAGTATTTAATCCAAAGTAGCATTCTAAAGTTCGAGCAAGGTGTATCATAGTGTTTATTTACACCGGCGGAGACTAGTTCACATAAATATATTTCAAACTAATAGGAATAATTCAAAGAGCAGACAGGAGAAACTGAAAAAGAGGCATGACGCATTAAAGATGTAGTTGTCAGTTACTGCTCCATTTTTTTTTTCATGTTCAGAGGAATGAACGGGAGACTATTTTCTGTCTCATTATAGCTGCCTTGCTTGGTAAGTATTTGTAGATTCCTAAGTGCAGTGAGTGATTTTCAGTTTGCCTATCCATCCTCTACCATAACACGAACCAAGTGTTATCTATAGAAAATTCAACATAAAATGATATTGTATCGTTTGGAGGTGTCTTCTCTTCGCCTTATTTAACGGAAATTATCAGGACTCGTTTCGTCTTGGCAATCTTTCTGAAAAATGGTAATTGCGAAAGAAATCAGTCGGTCAGAATTACGGATTTTAGGATATTTTCTGTGAAACTCAAGCCGATTCTCTGTTGAATATGCACTTTAAATTATCATTATTCTTCGTTGCTTATTGATCTTACACGAGGCTCTGATTCAGGTATATGTAATGTTGGTATCAAGCAGAAGTCATTTAATGAAGCCTTCCCAATTCCCTTGTAGTCAGTAACTTTACTACATTGTGCACGTTATCTCCTGATTTCTTCTACTAAAACTTGTGAAACGTCTCACTGACTTCAGCATTCGATTTTCAATCAGTGGGTCCTTGGTCCACTTCCTGTTTGACATAGTTTGATCTCGACAACCGAGTAGTGGTATCTGAAATCCTCACGCAAGAAGTGTGGATCATAGCATAAGAAATCAACCCGTACCGAGTCGAGTTACATTATTGTTATTCAGCATTAAATCAACAGCAAAAATGAAGTCTTGATTAGTGTTACCTTATTTCTCTGTGTGATTGAAGTAGCCTCCATTCCGTTTGCAGCTCATGCATATTAGATTTGTTTTCGGTATGGCACGCGAGATGACATTCCGAGCATAAACTATTGCTCAGTCGTTTAATTTTTTATCGCTGTACTCGATTTTTGTGAGCAGCTAAACAAGCGATTTGTTTTGGTCTTAGATTACTGGATAAATCTTTCAAAGTTATGAAACGACTGATAAGTGCACTGAAAGAAAAAAAAGTCTCATTCTTAGACTAAGATATTGCTCCGTGTACACCTACCCTCGGAGTTACCTGCAGTGCGATAAAGCTAGAGGGAAAGTGAATACAACCAAAAGTACGTTATCATTCCATTAAGTCAGTCAGTCATTTTTGATCTGCGTTATCCTGATAAATGTTCACTGTTTTGATTACGACTTGTTATCTACTGAAACAGTCATATGAATGCATATTTATTACTTCTGGTCTTCTTAACTGTCTGTGAGCTCTTTATATCATGTGAATCATCTTAGCGAGAAATGCTTTTACGAAATTGGCTGTTATGTTCCCGAGTGAATATAACGTACGCTCAACTGACAGCTAACTTCATACTCCAAACCCACTGACTCCAACCCCGGATGGAAGAAAAAAGAAGCCTGAACTAGATGAGAGAGTTTATTACTTCCAAGATAAATAGTTAATTAACCTAAAAACACGTATATATATATATATATATATATATATATATATATATATATATATATATATATATATATATATATATATATATATATGACCTTGTCCGGAATTCGAAACACTAACATAGTAAAAACAAGCATTAACCAGTCAGTGCATTATCTTGTAAATGGGGGAAAACGAACTACTGACCGTACCGTAAAAATATCTTTAAAACTGCCATTTGAACATGCTAAGATTAACAATGTTTTATGCAAATCTGGGGCTTTCCAACAGGCAGGATCATGTAGCTGCACTTTTTCTCGTCCGCTGGAAGTAGCTGAAAAGTTTGTATAGCTGAGTAGTTGTGTATGGCTGTTGGTGTACACATGGATGACGAGATTTCCTTCAGCATATCGAAAGACAGTTGCAAACATTAATCTGAGCCATGTTTGACGCCATAGTTATACTAACCTTGCTGTTAAATATCGGGACTTCAACTTGCCGATTCGAACGCTTCTGTAGTGCGCCTGTGAAACTTGGCCTCCATAAGCGTAGGATTTCCGGTGACTCTGTGTTGGTTCACTTGTCTTCGTAGAAATACCAGACATCTTTTGCCAATTGTTTGGTAAACTGGGCTATCGTTATAAATGTTGCATCTCTACTTTTCAGAAACGGTGCAGAAATCAAACAACCGTTAATCGTCTATAGGGGTTTAGTAGGATAAAAACCATAGTATTTTAAACATAAATATGTACTCTTTTTTCTGATGAGTAGCAGCGACCCACCGTCGCTGGGAATGAAACACTAAACAGTATTGAGCATTGCAGTTGTTTGACTTTGTCGCTTGTTATACTTTGCAAAAATCTATCCTACATTAATCCTGGGTATGTTGTTTTTTCTTCAACGTGACTATAGGTAAGAAAATATCTCCGTATCTTAAAATCTACGGTGCATTATGTAAAATTCACTAAACTTGAGGTTAGTGTTTAATTCTCTCCTCTGGGTAGTCTTGTGACGATATCTCTTATTTAGGGATTCACGGTCTTAAAGAGTTCATAGGTGTTTAGTCTCTGCACTAAAAGCAACTACTATTACCCTTAGAAAATGTCTTCTTAATATTCAGCGTACTAACAAAGCAACATTTTGCATGTTCATTTTCTTCAAGACTGATTCCTTACCCGCTGATTCTTTGAGTGATGTGGATAACGCAGATGATATTATTAGGAGATAACTCCAGTAAGCGTTCTGGACACAACTATGTGCTACTTTGAAATGTGGGAAGATGTTAGACACTATTCTTTACGATGACCTACCTTTCTTAGCATGTCTTGATTTGATCCTAGTTTTATTTAGTCAGAACAAATTAGGTGTAAAACAGGCGTCAGTGTTACACTAAGTTTCATGGTAGCGATACATAAAGGCGTACAAACATTAAAAAACAGCGGGATCTGTACTGTCTACTCTGCTTCATCTTTTATGTTAACTCAAATAGAAAAACTGTCGCGTATTCATTGGTTTCAATTTCAAGGCTTCACTGTAGCTTTTCGAAACTAGTGATTCACGTGATCTGTGAGAAAACCGCGTACACTTATCTAATAAAACTGCCCCTCACCATTATGTGCACTCTATAAACATATTCCTTCATCATGCATTTTATGCAGCTATTTTTGGTTACCAGAATATTGTTTTCAAGTTTGCAGTTTGCTTAAAGATATTTCTATGCATATATTTGTGGTGAACGAGCTTCCAACCTGAAAGTCATTTAAGAATATGCTGCTGAATTCCTGTGGCTAAATTTAATACAAGTGCAATTGGTATTTTTGTATGCTAAAAACGGGTTCATTGAAACAATTATATCGAAGCATCAAAAAACCGGCATCTGATATTCTAACTGTTTATCATTGGATTTGTAGTGTAATAGATTTGGTACTAAAATTTCAGGCATATGGGTCATGTATACATTTCTCAACTAGTTTTTCGAACTCTAGGTAAAAAAATGATTATCACAGCTATCGATCAGACAGACTTCATGATTTACACTTTCAAAAATGATTACCAGTGAAAACATTAAGATTCATTTCTAGATTTGATAATTATTTACATTTGGAGTAGGGAGTCTGCAAAGATGAACTATTTTCACATTTTTCTGGTTGTCTTTTAATTTTCTCTCAGTTATAACATCAATGATGATTGCAGTATTTTAATTTGCTATTTGTGTTTTAACAGTTCTCTACCTGGTCGCTCTAGCTTTTATTTGAGAGCAATAGTATTTATGATCATGCCAGTTAGCTCAGTAGAGGTGCCTACATTGCAAATATAGTAAAGTTTTTATCTGTGAGTCCAATGTCATCATTTTCACTGTTATCCAGCTAATCTTGAATGCAATGTCTTTTCAAAATGATTGACTATTATTCCTGCAAAACTAAATCCGTGAAGAGGACTGTATTGGTTTGATTTTCCACCTTAAACTGCTCACTGTATAATTAATTATAAACGTTGCTAACAATTTCATCTACATTGTATGAACATTCTCCTATTTCTTGTTCGAACAATAGAAGTCAGGAACCATGCCTCCACCTATACCCCACCATCATCGTCATCATAGCTTATTTCTCCTGTCCTTTGGTAGATGGGATGGTCTAAACTTTTTGTCATATTACAGTGTAACTATTACTGTTGTTGTTCGCCATCTAAACAATGTATGAAGGAGACTACCTTGAAACCTACGCATATATATATATATATATATATATATATATATATATATATATATAAAGAACTTATAAATGGTTAGTACTGGAGAATTTTCGTTCCTTTCTTTCGATTGCCGATGGCTTCATAGTTTTACCATTTTTTATCAAATGTACTTTACACCACCCCGGTCTTCTGTGTTAATTAATCACTTATTTTTTGATTGGCTTCAAAAAACTAATCAAAACCAGCCGTTTTTTAAAATTAAATATTATTCTGTTGTTTGTGTTTTTAATGTCTTGTAAGGCAAAATAAATTTTATGATTCAGTGAACCTCCAAGTGTGGATGAGTTGTTTTTATCATACTTAGCATATTGTCACTCTGGTCATTATGAACAACTTACACGCCATGACCAAGCGAATCTTCTAAGCGACTACTCGTTTGAGCGTAAAATTCTTAAACCTTGAAGTCTTACTGTAATAATGAGATTATAATGCATTTGAAAGCTGGTGGTTTTAGAATGTCGTGGTAGATAGTCTTACTAGACTTTAATAGAAGTAAGATGCTAACAAAATGACTATTCTCTTCAGCAATTATGTCCTTTCATTGTAGTATAAGAAGAATTAGGAGATATGTATGCTAAACGTTTGAGGTCTCCTGCCCAACAAAGTTCCATTCTACGCGATAAGCCCTTTATTTCTACTCAACCTACGTTGTTAAAACACATCGCAGATATCTTCACGAACGTCGTATGTGTCTTTCATCATACAAATATCGTCGGAGTTTTTGGTCACACTTGTAAATCAATAATACCTCCAGTTATACTGAAGTCTTTTTTGAGCGACCAGAAGTAACCTCTTACATCACGGATATTCGAGATATGCAAACGTCGGTAGCACTCGTGTCCACCCCACTCCGTTTATTTCTAAACTCCTCTATCGTCATTCCCTAGATTTTTCGGATTATAATTCTGCAACCCATGAAACACCATTCCTAGTGTGCCATAATAACACTCCAAACTACATGGTGAAATGTTCATCGCTTATGCCAAAGTCAATTTGAACAATAAGCCTCACTAAACTGTGGTTTGGTGAACCTGTCGGATTCACCCTTCAGATATCTGATTTGCTATTACTTTTGACAGTCATAAGTGTACGAATAACTTTTGATGCCAGTGCGAAAAGTACACTTTCATATCACATCGCAAACGTTCTGTGTAAATTATTAAAAAAGATTGTAATGGATGCAGATGTTTAGGAGTAGTTTGTGCCTACTTATCCATTATCCTTAATATGGCTGGTTGCATTTAAAAGTACTGAAAAGTTTGCCAGAAGTCTTGAACGTTCCCGTGTAACGAAAACTTGTTATCTACCATCAGAAGTAATCATAGATGGTAATCCTGTATTGCTGACTAGATTAACCGAGATGTTACCTAAAGCTTGGAGGTCAGCGACTGATTTTGCTTTCAGCAATGGGTTATTTCTTGTAGTGGCAGATAAATTATTGTTATCACTTCGATTTCCAGAGGTGGTTTAAAGAGGCTTTTTAACGCTCCGTTACTTAGCTTGAAATATAGACTAGTCTTTAAGTATCCTAGCTGCACAGTGCATATTCTTTGATCATAATGTAGAAAAGAAAATGTAGGAGTTTGAAGTCGTTTTTCCCGTTCTGTGAATGCTTTCCGGGAGTGAATTTTTCGTTCACATTGACTGTGCATTTAAAAGAATTCGAAAATGTTTTTCTTACAATACGTGTTCACCACGCCTCAGTATGATGAAAACACATGCGAGCATATCCTCCCTTGAAATTGGAAAAGATTCTTGTTTTCAAAATATATTATTTACTACAATACGTCGGCTTTTTTTTTTGAAAGAAAATGGTTACACCAGATTGATGAGTGAAGGAGGTCCCTTGACCATAAACAATGGTGCGTATTGGGTCACTGAATCCCCAATCACCGAACAGCTCATGGACTTATTGTAAACACTATTCTGGATGTCATTTGCAGTCAGAAACCTCCATAATTTAAACATCCAGCTGTTGCTGTTCATTTGTGTATATGTGTTCACGTAGCTGCCCCAGTCGAACCTTGTTTCACCTATATATGTATGAACAGCAAAATTATAGTATAATAATGCCTGCACTATGTGTATTTCCTTATAACCTAATATTTCGTTTAACTATTACCAATTAAGCACATGTTATTAAGGTTATATCACTAGACTGTGATGGTGAGTTTCATGTGCTTTACTTATATCAAGCCTCATGAAAATTTTGCATACTTACTGTGATTTCACGTTGACACTATGTAAGCTAACCGTTGAAACCATCTAAACACGTGTAATTACATTATGGTGTTAATTACTATTGATCCGAAATTTGAAATATGAATAATTTTGGTCTTAAAATGTGCTTACTAAATTATGACGCACTAATTACAAAGTGCGATGACAATAGCCGTAAATACCTCCTAGTTTGTGCTTGTGTGTTACAATGAATAATAATGTCAACTTTTCTCACTTTAATTGTACGTGAATATAAATGTGTAGGCGAGTTTCGATGATTATTTATTACTAGAAGTAGACTGTAATCTGTTGTTAGTGAAAACAGCACTAACCGCATTTCAGAATTCAAACTTATTGGTAGGTTTATGTTTGACGGGTACGAGCATTTCCACTTTGTAAAATGGGAGTGGTAAAGAATCAAACATACATGATAACTTAAAATAAAAAAGACTAAATTCTGCTTATTTTGTCGGGAACATCTTACTTTTAGTATTATATTGAAACAATCTCGAAATCACCTGTGCAGAGTGAATGCGATACTCCACTCGAAAATTTTTTATTAGATACTAAGTACAGTTGAACTTTTATATATATATATATATATATATATATATATATATATATATATATATATATATATATTCATGTTGCATAGGTGGTGGCTTCTGTTGACTCAGTATCCTAGCGTGGAACGCTCTAGCGTCTGAATTGACGGGTACTAAATTCTAGTTTTAGTGGGAACACCACTCGGTGCGATATAGGTTCATCCAGGTGATGAGTGTTACATAGAGGGGAAGACTCGTCTTTAGTTTTACTGCTAGTCATCAATGAACAAATGCTATGAATCTTCAGGCAGTATCAAGGCATTCGTGCAAGAGCCTACATTCCAAGTGAAACCAATCAAGTTCCAATATAGTTACCAACTGGAAATTACAAGAAACAGGTGTAAGCTACCATGTTACACAGTAAAATATTTCAGTCTTGGTCATCTTATGCAGCTGACTACATTCGCCCACCCACTTATTTTCTGTGTTTACAGCACGTATCGTTTGCGAAAGTAATTCACGAAGAAAGGTTGTAAAAGAATCGTGATGGATTATCGATATTAACGATATTTTGGAATTATCGATCGAAAAATAAACCGATTATGAGAACGGTGGTGCACCTGAGAAGAAACTATTTCCTACACCCTGCTTAACAGTTATTGGAAGTACTAGAATCATAAAGTATGTATTAAATTGTACGGCAAACATAACCTCGGTGGTCAACATGATTTTCTTGTATAAAGCTTTCATAACGCTTATGACAGTTAAAGAATCGAAGTCATGTTGGAATTGCGGGTGTATGACTGAAGTGTAGGTAGTTGGTCTATAAGCTTGACTTCCAATGGCAGTTTCGTTTCTTGCTTCACCTTCTCAGGTTCAGGCAATATCAGTATCCCTCATACAACAGATGAAGCTCACTACCTAATGCACAGGGGGTGCACGTGATTGTGGGTATTTCGACTGCGACTGACCCCGAAAACCAACATAGAACCTCACATAAAGGTGAATCGGCTCAATTTGTCCCACTTCACAGTGGTACACGAAGAACAGGTAGATAGAGAAAGATTGATATCAAAGCAGACAAAGTTGTGTGAGACAACAAACAATTTGAAGATAACGGTTGATGAAGACATTCAAGCTTTAGAAGATCTCAAATAGCTAATACGTCTGCACCATTGTGACCGATTTTCAACCATGTCACCAACAGTCCTCAAACAATGACTTCTTTTGTCTCGGGGACACCAGTCTTCATCTTCCCACATGACTCAGATCAATAGTAGGAGACTTCATCGACTGATGCCACGTCACGGTTTTGCTACCCTAAACCCTTTAACCAAGTACAACTTCACCTACTGTCGCACGTCCAGCTAGGCAGTGGCTTGGCATTGCTCAGTACAGGTCCAAGTCAACTAAGATTCACAGCTTCATCAATCGACTTACCTCTCTTGCTTAGCTCCTGTCATGTGATTTCAACATTGTTCATACGCTGACTCTACCACACTCGAGCAATGCTACGAAGACATCTGTGATCAGAACCTTGTCATCGCTTCATGTTTTCATTTTAATGGCTGTCTCAGCCGTATAACAGGACAGGAGGGACTGTAGAGCAGTATATTCGTCCTTTGATAGATAGTCGGATACCTTGCCAGTCGGCGCCATAGATGACGCAAATTTAAAAACGTCAGAGTTGAGATTTCGACATCAACAACGCCATTCGGGCATATGAGACTCCCCAAGTGAAGTGGTCGACACATTTCACCACTTCACTCCCTATCATGGAACTAGGAGTACTTGCAGCAGACCAGTTCTGGAGTAACATACCACATTTGACGGGTGCGAGACGTATGCCAAACATACCCAGATGTATGCTCAACGCGTTTGAAACACCCTCCATTTTGTAAGTGTCTTCACGTAGCACAGCAATATCCTCCACATAATCCAAGTCAACTGGATGCTGTACAGCGAGTAGATCAAATTCCCTGAAGTCACACATAACTGAAGTTACGTCCATCAGTAAAGCTATCAGGAATTTAAATAGGAATCTTGACAGCGGATATCCTTGATGGACACCACTCGTGATCGATTGTGTTTACAACGCTCCATAAGCCCTGACACGGCTGCATGAGTTCAAGCAGAAAGCTTCGATTAGCGTAATATACTTTTTCGGTACACCCTTCATAGTCGGACACTGCCGCAACACCTCACGGTCGACTGAGTCAAATGCCGCCTCCAGGTAACAAAATAAGGCAATTGTTGGCCACTGACCGGTAGGTATCCCTGCGTTCCAGAACCCGTCCACGTCTGAAACCCGCCTGGCTTTCTCGAGTTCTGGTTAGACGTCAGACAACTATGAACCCTAGGATCTTCGACACAATGTTAGTTCGACTGATTCTCCTATGGCTGTCACAAGAAGATTCCTCCCCCTTCTTGTAGACTGGAATAATCAATGAAGTACACCAGTCTGTTGGCACTACCTAATAACTCCGTAACCTCAAGCAGC